TGTGTGACTGTGTGTGACTTGTGTGACCTGTGTGTGACTTGTGTGACCTGTGTGTGTGACTGTGTGTGACCTGTGTGTGACTTGTGTGACCTGTGTGTGACCTGTGTGTGACCTGTGTGTGACTTGTGTGACCTGTGTGTGACTTGTGTGACCTGTGTGTGACTGTGTGTGACCTGTGTGTGACTTGTGTGTGTGACTGTGTGTGACTTGTGTGACTTGTGTGACCTGTGTGTGACTTGTGTGTGACCTGTGTGTGACTTGTGTGACCTGTGTGTGACTTGTGTGACTGTGTGTGACTTGTGTGACTGTGTGTGACTTGTGTGACCTGTGTGTGACCTGTGTGTGTTGACCTGTGTGTGTGACTTGTGTGACTTGTGTGACCTGTGTGTGACCTGTGTGACTTGTGTTACCTGTGTGTGACTTGTGTGACTTGTGTGACTTGTGTTGACTGTGTGTGACTGTGTGACCTGTGTGTGACTGTGTGACCTGTGTGTGACTTGTGTGTGCCCTGTGTGTGACTGTGTGTGACTTGTGTGACTGTGTGTGACTTGTGTGACTGTGTGTGACCTGTGTGTGACTGTGTGTGACTTGTGTGACCTGTGTGTGACTTGTGTGACTTGTGTGTGACTTGAGTGACCTGTGTGTGACCTGTGTGTGACTTGTATGACTTGTGTGTGACTTGTGTGCCCTGTGTGTGACCTGTGTGTGACTGTGTGTGACCTGTGTGTGACTGTGTGTGACCTGTGTGTGACTTGTGTGTGACTTGTGTGTGACTTGTGTGACTTGTGTGTGACTTGTGTGACTTGTGTGACCTGTGTGTGACCTGTGTGTGACCTGTGTGTGACCTGTGTGTGACCCGTGTGTGACTTGTGTGACCCGTGTGTGACTTGTGTGACCCGTGTGTGACTTGTGTGACCTGTGTGTGACCCATGTGTGACTTGTGTGGTCTTTTCCTGAGAACAAATGTAATTCTGATTTAATTAATTGCCATATTTTTTAGACTATAATAACTTTTTTTTTTTTTAATCCATGTGAAGTTAACAACCTAAGAAAAACTGACAAGCTTCCACATTCACCTCAAAAATCACCCTTTTAATTTCTGCCACAAACTTAAGAATATATCTGAAAACACTTCAAACAGACAGAAACAGACTCAGTGTCCACTGTAAAGGACACAGATTAATTGGCCGTTCTGTCTGTTTTTGTTGCGTTTCCTCGCTCACCTGCTCTCCTCTCCTTCCAGAAGCTTCCTGTAGGTGGCGATCTCGATGTCCAGGGCCAGTTTGACGTTGAGCAGGTCCTGATAGTCCTGCAGGTGTCGGGCCATCTCCTCCTTCAGGCTCTGGATCTCCTCCTCCAGGTGAGCCACTCTCTCCTGGAACGCCGAGGTCTCCAGAGCCGCCCGCTCCTCCTGCTCGCGCAGCTGACGCTCCAGAGACTCGTTCTACAAAAACAAGAAGAAGAGATTTAACCCACAACCTACAGGAGAAAGAGAGAGAGAGTGTTTTTATATTTATGTATGTTTCGTGGCGACTGGATCTGGTATCAGTGCCGCGCCCTCCTGCTCCTGCGCTCTCGCTGCGCACCTGCCTGTGAGCTGCTGTGAGCCTTTTAGTCCCGTTTTGGCCTTTTGTTTGGTCAGGTTAGTTTGGGGGCGTCTTTTTTCCTTTAGGTTAGTGATGTCGGCATCATTTTTCTGTTTGGCCGCTCACCAGGTCCATCTTTCAGTTGTTACTTTGTTTTTGGGCACGGGAGGGGTTTTAGTGTTTTTAAAGTAAATTAAAATTAACTTAAAAATAAAAACAACTTTTACTTTTGGGTTCGGTCATGCAAAAGTTTACAACAAGGCCAAAAATTCAAGTTAATTGATCTGATATAAAAATGTATTGAACAGATACATATGTACTCTAGTTTATCAAACTGTTCACCTTTTTTCTGTTCCATTTTTGGTTCTAAAGTTCCATATGTTTTAAACAGACCATGTATGAAACATGGAACAAAAATTATTTCCCAAATTTCAAAGACCTGAAAATCATGTAAATAAATGGATGTATTTCATCATATCTTGTGTTATTCCATCTTTGAACTGTTGATGAAGGGACATGATTTTTAAAAAAAAGTATTTAAAATGATAAAAATGTTCTTGGAAGGACTGACATATTTTATAGAAATAGTTTTCTTTCATTTTGAAGTAATATTAAAGTATTCGGAAGAAAAAAGCCACAAATGATGTAAAATCCTGCACCTTCTACTTGTTTGTACAATTTTCCCTCCGTTACTTTTCCCTCCGTTACCATGAACTTTCTTAATAAAAAATCTCATGAGTCAAAAAGTCAGAGGTTTTTCAACCTAATCTTGTACCATATGGTAGAAAACTATATGAAGCAAATATTCAAACCAGTTTGTTAAGGATATGTAAGTGAGAACCAAGAGTTATCACTGTTTGGATTTATTGCCCAAAAAGTGCTGCATATTTCATTCCCTCCGTTACTGACATGAGTTTTTAATTTTTTGTCAACAACTTGAAAGAATCTCACAGGTTTAACTTGACCCTGTTGGAGTGTAACTCTTTCCTACATTCTGATACTTTACTTATTTCAATAGTTCCTCTAGTTTCTGAATAAGAGACATTTGAATGTCAAAAATCTGCCCTGTTTCCCTCCGTTAACACTTGACTGGATCCTTTTATGACCTTTTCGCCTCCTGTGTCTCTTTAATATGTTTGATGTCTTGGTGGAGAGAAAGAGAGGAGACAGAGGGGGAAGAGAAGTGAGAAAATGAAGCAGCTCTAAAGCCTAATTTATGGTCACAACTCAGAGAATCTGCATCAACCGACGTTCACCTCCAAAAATGACGTCTAATGACACGTCGAACCAACACAGACAGTAAGAGCTGTGACTGGTCGTCTACATTCGCTCTATGGACATCTCTGGTGCTCCACTTTCCCTCTTTGTTTTGTAATCACAAACTCCAGTTTTAAATCCTCGCTTCCTGGTGTCGTGGCGGTGAACGACTTTGCAGCGCATTGAATCAAAAACAACGGCGACAAGGCGGCGGCGGCGGCGGCGGCGGCGGCGGCAGTGTGCGGTGAGTCGAGGCATCAAACTATAATTTAACCTTAAATGTGAAGCTCAAGTCACTGAACGTCTTGTGCCTCACCACCAGGGGGCTCTCTGCAGCTCTGCCCCTGTCCCTGCCCCTGCCTCTGCCCCTGCCTCTGCCCCTGCCTCTGCCCCTGCCTCTGCCCTGCCCTCTGCCCCTGCCCTCCTGCCCTCTGCCTCTGCCCCTGCCGCTCCCCCTGCCCCTCTTTCTTCTCTCCTCTCGTCTGTGTCTGAGTCTGGAGGTTTTTTCTCTCACAGGTTCACGAGGCTCTGGGCGGTGATGGAGGAGCTTCATTAAACCAAAGGTCAGAGGTCAGAGGTCAGACTCTAGACTCTCTCTCTGTGTGTGTGTGTGAGGCTGATGGAGTCACACAGTTTTTCACAGAACTATTGGCGTTTCTGCTTCATTAAAGCTCCACGTCCTCTGTGTGTGTGTGTGTGTGATGCCTGCGGTGTCCTCTAGGGGCGCTGTTCTGTACATCTACACTGGTATTTATGTTAGTGTGACCATATTCCTGTTCGTTAAAACCAGGACATCGTTCGGGGGGCAGGGGGGCGGGGCCTCGTCATCGACTCTCACCTGGCAAATCTTTTTAATGTTCTTCTGCGTCCTGGTGCTTTGGTGTCCCTGACACACTGGACACCGACACACATGTGCTGCTTTGTTCACTGTGCACATGGACTCACACTTGTCACGACCGGGACGGAAAGCGGAGAATTTCTTGTACAAATCATCGTTAAATGTGCGTTTGCGTTTCGGTGCGTTGCAGACTGACCGACAGTTACAGAGAACTACGACAGCTGGTCAGTTTAATGGACCAGTGAAAGGAAATAAAAACCTAAAAAATTTTTTTTTTTAAACAGACGGCCAGGAAATGTCCGGGGAAAAACAGACGTTTGGTCACCCTAATTTATGCAAACTTGTAAATACATTTGCATCATATAAAGCTCTATGTTTGTATTGATACTTTCACACTCGGGGGGGGGGGGTTCTACATGTAACTCTCTGCTAGTATGTCCAGCTGTTACCATGGTGACACGATGCAAAGATGCAAAGCACAACACTGTCGAAAAAGTTTTGGATGGTCTAAAAACTCAAGAAAAAATACAAAATGGATGTAAACAGCACATTATCCGGAGCGTTCGTGTTCAGGAGTTTACACTGTGTTCCAAATTATTAGGCAAATTATATTTTTCTCAGATTTTGTCAAATTGTCAATATAAATGACCGGAGCCCTGGTTAATTGGTGTGACGGGGGCCTGTAGGTTTGTGTGAGGATCTCAGGTGGGTCCATGAGTCACAGGCAGTGGATCCGCTGAGCGCAGGAGCCTGGGATAAACGTCAGTGGGATTAGTTTTATTTTGCAGGTGTGAAAGTTTAACACACTGGACTGGAACACTACAGAAGAACTATTTTATCTCCAGGGGTGAACCAAATCATCAAACTGTGGATGTGAAAACGCCAAAACCAAAAAGGTGAGAGTGACTTAAAGGTTGTATAGAGGATTTTCCAAGGAACGAGAAATCCAGCGACGGTTTGTCCTTTTTCAAATGTTGCGCATGTGTGAAACCACCTCCCCTCCCCCACAGCTCCTACGTAGAAACACCTCCTCCTCCTCCTTACGCCAGAAAGTCCTCATCGCTGCACATGACTTGTAAACAACTAACTACAGTGTTGGTTAGGCAAGACGGAGAAGTGAGGAGCGGGGGGAGCGGGTGCGCGGACATTTCGTGCACGGAAAAGAAGTGAGGAGCAGGAAGAAGAACGGAACGGGGAGAGAGGAGCAGGACGGGGCGCAGAGAGGGTGCGCGGAGATTCAGTGCGAATGAAGCAGCAAGTGGACTCTTTCTTTGCATTGAAAATTACGTTTTCATTATCACATTCGTGTCCTGAAAAACGTTTGTCTCGCTCTTGGAAATAAAGTACGTTTTCATAATAAGCAGAAGTTTCCTGTCCAGGAGTAATTTGTGGACCAGTGGTTCAGTCTTTAGACCCTTCGTCTGCTTCAGTCGCGCCGTCGCTGGAATGAATCTACAAGAATCACCTTAGTTTGGCTTCGCTGCTTTTCCCCTTGTCTTCTTCTTTCAGCGACCTCAAAAACGGACTTTCTTTTGCGGCGAACTGCTCCTGGATTCTTGTCGCCATCGCAACAAACTTTGCGCGAACTGCGAGGAAGATATAGGTCAAAAAAAGCCGCTAAGAACTGTTGCGTTGGTGGAGTAAACAGCGTCTTGCGTCTGTGGACTGTGTGACAGTCGTACGTAAACCACGTACCGGCAGCGCGCAGGCAAGTCAGTTACACTAGAAACGTAGGGAGTTTGATTGACAGCCTGTCAGCTCACAGATAACGAGGCAGTGTCGTTATCCCCACCACGTCCAGAGTTGATGAATTTTTATTCTCTTTTTTTTAGTCATCATAATTACAAGGCGACTGTGTCTCTATAATCTATCACTGACAATTTGAAACAAAAAAAATCCTCCATACAACCTTTAATGAAAGCTCGTTTAACAGTAAAAATCTCCTGTCGTAGTTCAGGTCGCTCTGCTCTTTCTCGTCTGATTGTGTGAAAATAAAACTCAGATTAAAGTCGATCTTGTTAACAGAGCCTCAGACGGAGCAGTGCCTCCAGTTAGCAGAATGTAACACTTGTGGTGCGTTTGTGTGTGGTTGCCGTGGTTACTCACAGTCCCCCGCAGAGCCTCCAGGTCGCAGGTCACCGCCTGCACCTGTCGTCTGTACTCGTTGGCGTCCTGCTTCGCCTGTCGGAGCGCCTCTGCGTTCCTATTGGCCGCGTCAGTCAGGTCGGCGAACTGTGGACCAATCAGAGACGAGCAGCTCATCAGTCACACCTGTCCTGGTTCTGGTCTAGTCCTGGTCTAGTTCTGGTTTAGTCCTGGTTTAGTTCCAGACTTAGTCACATTTTTTTTTTCTTTTTCTTTTTTCAGTCCCAGTCCTCGGTGGTTCATACCTTAGACCTGTACCAGTCCTCGGTGGTTCATACCTTAGACCTGTACCAGTCCTCGGTGGTTCATACCTTAGACCTGTACCAGTCCTCGGTGGTTCATACCCCGTGTGGTTCATACCCCAGACCTGTACCAGTCCTCATGTGGTTCGTACCTCGAGTGGTTCATACCTTAGACCTGTACCAGTCCTTGGTGGTTCACACCTTAGACCTGTCAGAGTCCTTGTTGGTTCATATCTTAGACCTGTACCAGTCCTCTGTGGTTTATACCTCATGTGGTTCATACCTTGGACCTGTACCAGTTCTCAGTGGTTCACACTTTAGACCTGTCAGAGTTCTTGTTGGTTCATACCTTAGACCTGTACCATTTCTCGTGTGGTTCATACCTTAGACCTGTCCCAGTCCTCATGGTTCATACCTTAGACCTGTACCAGTCCTCGGTGGTTCATACCTTAGACCTGTACCAGTCCTCGGTGGTTCATACCTTAGACCTGTACCAGTCCTCGGTGGTTCATACCTTAGACCTGTACCAGTCCTCATGTGGTTCGTACCTCGAGTGGTTCATACCTTAGACCTGTACCAGTCCTTGGTGGTTCACACTTTAGACCTGTCAGAGTTCTTGTTGGTTCATACCTTAGACCTGTACCAGTTCTCGTGTGGTTCATACCTTAGACCTGTCCCAGTCCTCATGGTTCATACCTTAGACCTGTACCAGTCCTCGGCGGTTCATACCTTAGACCTGTCCCAGTCCTCATGGTTCATACCTTAGACCTGTACCAGTCCTCGGCGGTTCATACCTTAGACCTGTACCAGTCTTCATGGTTCATACCTTAGACCTGTACCAGTCCTCATTGGTTCATACCTTAGACCTGTACCAGTCCTCGGCGGTTCATACCTTAGACCTGTACCAGTCCTCGGTGGTTCATACCTTAGACCTGTCCCAGTCCTCATGGTTCATACCTTAGACCTGTACCAGTCTTCATGGTTCATACCTTAGACCTGTACCAGTCCTCGGCGGTTCATACCTTAGACCTGTACCAGTCTTCATGGTTCATACCTTAGACCTGTACCAGTCCTCATTGGTTCATACCTTAGACCTGTACCAGTTCTCGAGTGGTTCATACCTTAGACCTGTCCCAGTCCTCATGGTTCATACCTTAGACCTGTACCAGTCCTCGGCGGTTCATACCTTAGACCTGTACCAGTCCTCGGCGTTCATACCTTAGACCTGTACCAGTCCTCGGTGGTTCATACCTTAGACCTGTACCAGTCCTCGGTCTCCTGCATGTTGGACGAGGCCATGGTCTCGTACTGGACCCTGATGTCCCTCAGAGCCGCGGTCAGGTCGGGTTTGGACAGGTCCAGATCCACGTGGACCTGCTGAGCCAGAATCTGCTCCTGAAGCTCACGCAGCTCCTGGACAAACAAAAACAAA